AATACAATAAGCCCTCCGGTCACATTGTTACCTTTGACCTTTTTCCTTTTGACTGTGCGAGAGGCAAGTGCGTCGTCACCGGCAAAAGGTCAAAGGTAACAATGTGACCGGAGGGCTTATTGTATTGATTTTCTTGCCAAAAAAATAATAATAATAATTTCAGTACATGTGTCGAATAAAAAAAATAAAAATAAAAAAAAAAAAAAGGGGCCAAAAGGGCACATTGGGATCATGGAGCAAAAGGGGCAGGTGCTCAAGCCCCCTTAGCCCCCCCCTCTGCACGTGCCTGCTTTGCAGTATTATACTATTACATGCGTAAGCCATAAAAGCGTTACTTATAGGAATATGTAGTAATATGTCGAATAAATTGCTAGGATATGTAAGCACAATTCTAAGCAAACAATGTTAAAATTTAATTAGGCAACAATAAAAAACGGCTTGCGGCAATTTTAACCTTTTCTGCAGGAAGCTGCCAGCTTACAGCTCAGCAAAGCTCTGGAAGAACAAACATGGTGGGTATTTCTCAACTAACCCATTTCTTGATAAGCCAAGGAGATATTTTAGCTTCACACAACCACATTTTCAACTACATTTAATTCAAGAGTTAATTTATGTGGAAGAAAGGGTTTGGCTGTTACTGCATGGAGCCTTATAGTGGTTCACTTTGTTCATTAAGGAACCCCTTTATACTGCCATCTTCTGCAGACATGGTGAACTGAACGTGATTTAAACAGTCTACAAATGAGTAAAATATTGTAATTGCAGCACTTTTATAATAATAATCTTTTAATTAAACCTCCATGCATTACATTTTTCTCCAACATTTGTTTTGTTGGTTTTGTACTTTGTCAGTTTTATCTAATTACCATCTCAATCCTAGTGTTGTCAAGTCAAAGTGTTGTGGGTAACTCAAAACATATTTGTCAAAAATTGTGCAAAAATTTCCAGCCATTTACATTTTGTGTAGAATTTCTAAAGTACACTGACAATAAGGAATTTTCATATCCTTGTATTACATAGTTTTATTTTACCTTTTTTTTTTTTATTCAGGTAAAATGTTTCATTTCAGCATTTCTAAAACACAATTTTTCATGGGACACCAGAATACATTGCTTATGAGTTTGTGTTATTTTTATTTATTTATTTTGTTATTTTGAAGAGCATTCACATTAACTTTGACATCATGCTCTGGTTATTTTTGCCCCCAGCTGATATTGCTGGGGGCAAAGTCTGAGGACTTCAGTGTTGAGGAAGAGCATGAGTTCTTTGCTGAGCTGAATGCGCACTTTCGTCTGGGTTGGTCTGCCGCGGTTTCCGTAGCGCCGTGTACGCGCTTTCAGGAAATCCTATACACCACTGTTTATGCTCTAAAAACATTCTAAATGACTTCGTTTCGAGTAAATTATGGACACTACCCACTCAGGACACTTGGAATACATTGGACGAGCAGTATGGAGGAATATTGACACGTTTTTTGTGGACTTTTATGGACCTTTCTGCCTCGGGCGCCATAGACCTCCATTATTTGAATGTCAGCAGACAGCAAGAAGCCTCCCAGATCTCCAGATGCATTTGAGATATCAAAAAAGTACTCCAGAGTGTTGTTCAGCATGGGGGTGAGTAGAAAATGAAGGCAATCATGTTTTGGGTGTACTATTCCTTTAATTTTAATTTAATTTACGGTAACCTTAATTTCCAGAGGGAGTCTTCCCAAGGGATCAAGTCTAAGTCTACATAAAAATAAAATTATCTGCATGTTGCTCATATTAAACTAATCTCATTTCCTGTCAACTGGGTTATAGAATCCTCTCTATAAATATTTTTTCAGTGAAAAAAAAAACGCTGATCATTCTTTAATGAATTCCTTATCAAAAGGACATGCATGTTTTTTAAGAATGCAACAAATGCTGTTTGATCAGAAATATTTGAATAGTCTTATAAAAACAAACAAATTATGACATCGGCTCAAACACTCAATTATTATTACTGCTACACTTTCTATATATGTGACTTTTATACTGTTCAAACCGGGACTTATGAAGTGTGTCCTTCAAATTATTTTTCTTTCCATAGATTGAGAATCAACACTCCCTGCTGCTCTTGCTGCTACTGATTATGATCACATTTGTCAGTTTTTACAATATGACGTCTTTTGAACATTGCATACAAATGATTGTTTTTCTGCTTTTCAGTAGCTGCTTATGGTGACAGCCAAGTGACAGTATTTCATAAATTAGAATTTCTGTGTTGAAACTGTGTTTCATACTTCTATAAAGGACACTGTAAGTAGTAAAGCACTCATTTTCCCTGCATCTAACTGAGAGCTATGAAAATATAGATGGGAACATTTCATTTACTTTGTAAAATTAGCAAAGTTCTTGATCTGTTCATAGGGTTTATGGTTTTCCAGAAATATTAGACCTGGTAAAGATCTGTCAGGTATATATCAGTGAGGGTCTCAGTCGTATTGTTCTAGTTCATGCATGGTGTTGTTTTGACTCAATGTTTTGAGAGATAAAGCAAGATAATCAGTACAGTGCTGGGTATTATCGGCTGTTTTTTATTGTTGTTTTTTTCCTCTGTCCACCTGAAAGTAAACACAGATTTTCATTACTTTGTAAGCAATGTTTTATGTTTAGTTCTAAAATGTTAGTTTCTATTTAATGCAGTTTTGACATCTATCTTTTTTCTATTTTACTTATTAGTTTGTGCAAAGCTTTTAGCTAAAAGGTTTTCTCCTTTCTCATGAGAACAATTATTTTCATAGTCCTGAAAAAGTAAAGGAATGTTGAATGTGAAGACTTACCAGTATTTTATTCCGTGAATTTTAGAAGCCATCATCATCAAACTCTTGAAAGTGAATTTTTATATAGATCAAAGGGTATCCTGCCTGGTCAGTATTAGGTTGGTTGGACTGACCTTAGCTTTGATAACAGTACACAATATTTTTTCTCATCCATTTGGATGTCACAACATTGACTTCTTTCCAAAAACGTCTTTATCCATGTCCTCAGCATCCACTGTCTCACTTTTAAATTAGCTCACACAGAAGAGTTATTCAGGACAGTTGTTAAAAACTGAACGTCATCCGGAAAATAAATTTCTGTATTGCAATAGTGCAATTCGTAATACACCAATGTATTTATTTATCATCTATTACCAGGGGAATTTTAAATCAGGATTAGCTTATATCCAATCTAACTACAGTTGTTTTTCTATAGTTTTCGCATTTCTATGAATTTGGAAGATTGATTAAATACCCTACTGTACATCAGTTATTGTTCATATTTAATGAAAAAAAATAAGTTAATGTTAAGGCTTTGAAACCAAATGGTTGAAAGATTTATATCAATGATTCTTTTTAGCAGAAGCTGCTTTATTTTTTCCTTGAACAGCATTTAATACATTTCCTTTCTTCTTACAGGTGCCTGGCTGCCTCCCTACCTCTCTCTACCTCTGTTTTGGCCTTTCTAGCTCTCCTATCCCATTTACCCATTCTATCTAAATTATTGGACATTCTATCACATCTATTCTTTACCACTCTATCTGTTTTTTTGTATAAACCAACTTTTCTGGAAAAACAATTTTAAAGCAACTTGTTTCTGGAGAAAGCAATTTCTAAACCAACCATTTTTTTCTGGAACGAAAAGCTTTTCTGAGTACCATATCTGACTGTTTTGCAACATCTGAGAGTTTCTTTACTTTCACCGCTCTCTGTCCTATCCACACTTTTGCACTACTTATTTACATAAGTACCAGAAATCCATCAAAACTTTTTCATATTAAACCATTTTTGGATCTCTACGGAGAATTTAACTTAATTTGACCCACACATAAAACACATTTGATCATATTCAGTATAGAAATTATTAGACATACACATTATTAAAAATACATATAATAAAAATACATCAATATAAATATTTGAACTGCATTACTCATGAAAGGAGCTGTTGCCTGTTTCTGATCCTCCTGGTTTCGAATCGAATATAAGGTTTGAATTCACATATATATTATTAAAATTTTTTCATAGAAGTTTATGTATATGAAAGAACAAAAATACCTTAAGAAAACCTGGCCTCTGTTTCCTGCTTTCGTGAATCAACAAGTTCAACCAGATGCTACCTGCTGTGTTTGTGAATTATTACACTGCAACATATCTGACAGGGCAGAGTTTTGACTGTAACCTGAGAGTTGTGTTCTTGGCATTTTATTTTATATGCACATCTACTCAGTGGGGTTTTCCCAAATTGAAAAACATAGATTTTCAAGGGGACAATTGTAAATGGTTTAATTATCAAATCAGTTTCACTTCAATTCAGTGTATTTATATAGCGCCAATGCACAACCTGTAATCTCAAGGCACTTTACAGAGACAATACTGCCAGATTGGTTAGGAAAGCAAGTTGTGGTCCCAGCAACAAAATCATCAATTTGTGAAGGGGAATAAATTAAATGTTTGCCCTCTGCAGTATTGTTCCAGTATGCCAAGGGAAAAAAGTGGAACAGATTTTTTCTTACTGCATTATCTGTCAATGATCTGCTAAAGTGAAACCTTCTTTTAGGGGAAAACTTAAACTAAATAAAAAGTGGTCAGAGGACCGGGTTTTGAGAAAGTATTGTTATTTCTCTACATGCAATGCCTTATTTCAGCACAATGTGCAAAGTATGAAGGTGAGATATGTGTGACAGTGTGAGGTCCTGTCACTATGCCTTGGCTACTTGGCCAAGGGGATATCCCTTTGGCTGACCTGGGATTCTCAGAATTGAGCAGCCCTGTTGTTTACTTTGCCACACATGGGACTCTTCATATTTGAACAAAGCCAATCAAGTCTAAGATGCATAAGAAGCATTATAAGGCTGCATTTAAGCTAGTCTGCATGAATAAAAATCTTCCTATATTTAACATTATCCTTTGCAAGTGAGGTCTAACTCATGGATGTTATACAGCTAGGTCTAACACCTTCACCTATAAATCTACAAAAATACTACACATCCATTATCTTGGCAGCTTCTGCAGTTTTAACTTTAATTACCTAAGTGAACACCAACATTCATATTCTGAACACTATCCCTCATGGCTTCAGATATTTTTGCACTTCTTCACAGTTGATTTCAGACTTTTCTTCTTTCTTTCCAAACCTTCACTGTGGTAACAAACTAACAAAGAGGCCAAAAACAAAATGTAAAACATAGAATATAATAAGACACAATAAGACACCATAATTTCACAGGAAAGCCTTTTCACAAGAATGAGCAACTGAAATAGAGGTTCATAGTCATAGTACATCTCTGAATCCTAAACTGTTAGAGAAATCAAAGATTTTTCTGTTATAGATTTATTAACTACATCTTTACAAAAAGTCCATACTCTACCACAAGCACCACAGTGAACACTTTTTATCACAATTTTATTGTCCAATGAACTGCACAGGCAAATGAGAATGAAGTGATATCATCAGTGCTGTCACATCGGGGAGGTGAGTTTACCTCCGGCTTACTGAGCCTGAATCTGATCAGGCTTTTCAGGCTCTCAAAGTTGCAACTTTGTGTTTGTTTTCATAATGATCCACCATCTGATGTTTCTGGCCCGTCAAACAGTCGCACCACGTCCTGCTTCCTTGCCAGCTGTCGTGCTGTTGCACCAGAGGCATCCTTAGAATCCTTGTGGCCAAGCTGAAAGAGCATCCTGACTGCTTCCGCATTCTGCCCAATGCAAGCCATATGAAGAGCTTACAGGGGGAGGAGACAAGAAGAGCAGTAAATTATGCCAATAAATTACACTTTTAACAAAAATAATAACATGATGGCTGACACACTTCTTACCAGTGCGTCCTTTATTGTCCCGAGCGTGAAGGTCTGCTCCAAGTTCCACCAATGTTTTTATCATGGCAGCATGGCCTTCCTTAAAAAGCACAGCTTTATTACCAGGGTGTAGACCTTCACTTTTACCAGGCTTTGGTGAGATTTCTTTAATTCACAGATCTCTATAGGCTTCTGTTACGAAATCTTAAGCAGTCACTATTGTATCAGTGGTGGATAAGTCTCCTAGACTTTTTCTTTCTTCATACGTAGAGCTTTATGACTAATCTGATTTATCAACTTTAGTTTATAAATATAATATTAGGCCATATCGATCAATCTATCAACATTATTGTCATCTACAATTTACATTGCAATCAGAATTTCATTTTGTAAAACTTCCTTGACCACCATTTCCATTAAAATTCTGTGTAAACTTTCTTGCTTTGTTAATGTTGAAAAAAATTTATTTTCACAATAGTGTTTTTATTTAAAGAGAAATTAAGGTGTTTTCCTGTTGCCTGGTCTGGTTGATAAATGTAAATTCTCAGCTCTGGGACCTTTCTGGCTCATATGTATATATGCTCTCTCTCTCTCTCTCTCTCTCTCTCTCTCTCTCTCTCTCTCTCTCTCTCTCTCTATATATATATATATATATATATATATATATATATATATATAGAGAGAGAGAGAGAGAGAGAGAGAGAAGAGTTATATGTGTAATATATGAGTATTTCTGATTCTAATATAAGGTCTACATCACACTTTGTGCATACTCACACACAGACACACTTTAGACTTTGCGAGTGAGTTAGTGAGCATATGTGTGTGATTTGCGCATTAATGCTGTCAAGTTTGCTCAAATGTTGTGCTGCAGGTAGTTTTGCTATCCGTGTTCTGTGATGGTCCTCTCAAGGTTTCCCCATAGATGCTTCAGGAGCAGTTTAAAAGAAGCTGGTTGTTGGATTCTGTTATGTTGCTTCTTTTATGTTCCCCCTCACTCTTCACCCCCCTCTATCTCTCTCTCCGTCTGTCTGGCATCAGAATGTATGTAGTATACTAAGAATAAATGAATCCTCACGTCAGAAAAATAAGCCTACTTGCCAAGCAGTAAAAAAAAAAAGATATTTAAAAGTGTTACATCAGTAAATACATCAGACTTTTCTGCACTCTATTTTTAGTTTTGAAACATTTCTGACTTTGTATTTTTTATCATTGTAGCTTCATCTGGTCTGTTCCTGTTTGGCTGTGACTCCATCCTGGAGAGAAATATCAGCTGTGCTGCAGCCATCAACACCTTTGTTTATAGATGCTGGAGATCAACCTGTTTTCCAGTGTAGTCCTGTTTGTCTGACTGTGACTAACTGGATGTGCTCTCTTCATCCTCTGACATGGGAGCTGGCTTGGAGCTCGTCTGCCTGGCTGTGTGTTTCCTGGAGGGGGGCCGCCTGTGAGCTGGTTTACAGTTGCCTTTTGTATCTATGCTTCTTTTTCTATGTCTGCTTCTGTCTCCTTGAACCCCAGTGGGCCTCAGCAGATGGCCGCTCACTCTGAGCCTGGTTCTGCTGGAGGTTTCTTCCTGTTAAAATTGATTTTTCCTCTCCACTGTCATGGCATGCATGTTCAGTGTGAGGGATTGCTGAAGAGCAAAATTCAAACAAAAAACATTGCCACATTGCTCTTTTACAGCAGCTATATCCTAAAGCAGCAGTAAAATACTAAGTACACATTTCCATGCCTCCATCTAGTGCCGTGAATTCATTTTAGTGAGTTATTTTTCATATCAGTTCCCAGATCTACAGTCTTTCACTGACTCGGATCAGACAGATCTGCATTGTTTTCAGCACCAATTTATAACCCTAAGAAAATGTTCTCAACACTCACTTTTTCTCTATGAACTGCTATGAAAAAGCGTTTGAGGTCCATAAGAAACTCAAATTGATCACTGCTGATCTAACCTTTGCAGCATAATGCAGGGCGGTGAGTTGGATGGCGGTGGCTCTCTGGTTAATGTCCACACCCAGGTCCTGCACCAGAAAACGTAGGGCTTCCTCCTGACCAGTGACAGCCACTTGATGCAGCGGCTGAGTACCGAGTACATCAGCTGCCATCGGAGATGCCTGCAATGTCATGGCAAATATCGAGTGATTAGCCATGCAACATTTATTGTAAAAGTAAAACCTTGTCACATGCCATCAAATTTAGATTTTGGCTCAGATAGGAAAACCTTAAAGCCTCATTTTAAGAGAAACTTGTATTTTACCCTTTTTAAGACACAGTAGTGCATTAAAGGGGTCATAGAATGATTCTATAGGGTATCTGGTGCTCGTCCTTAAGGTCTCTGAATAGGGTGTGTAACATTGGTTGGCATGAAAATGGCATATTTTCTGTTCTATGAGCCCTAATGCAGCCTGGTTAAAAGCCCTAGAATGAAACGACAGGTTTTCTTCCTTTTATGGTATGATCATGAATATTTAGATGAGCTGTGCTCTGATTGGTTGGTTTACAACGAGCAAAGCTGCTGAGCAAAGACGAATCATAGCAACAAGCACTTACTCACTGAAACATCAAATAGTTGGTAGGGTGACCAGACGTCCCCTTTTTCCCGGACATGTCCTACTTTCACACATTAAAAAATGTCCAGGGGGAATTTCAAAATCGTCCCAACCATAGATATGTTAGCATTGCCATCAACAGCTTAGCAACAGATTCATAATTACAGCCAGTGGTTGTGATGGCCTTACGGTGGGAACAGCCCCTAGTTTCAGTAAAAGAAATTTAGCAAATCCTGCTTTGAACTGTCCAAGATTTTGAAAGCTGTCTTCAGTAAAATGCTTTGAGGAAATGAACAGCTGAGCATCAAACTTTGCGTGGATCTTCTGATAGACAAAAGTAATCCATGCCTGTCGAGTCTTCGGGAACACTGTGAAAATTTTCCCCTTTCGCTGAGCAGCCTGGAACACTTAATTTCCGCCTGTGGACCTGGCTTATTTTCCATAGAGAAACTGCCTGCTTTGTAACTCTTGTAGAAGTAAACCCAACTGTGGGCTAAACAGCTAAACTGGTGTCTTCCATCTACCTCAAGGAGGTTTCGATGGGGTTTGAACTTCTCTGTACGTCCATTTCACCCACTGAATTATCGTCATCCATCTATGACAATGGAAACTAGGTTTTGCATTCTTTGACCCCTTTAAGGACTACTTGTGGAGGCTGGTGTTTGTGTGGTTGTTTAAAAGAAAATAAAAGGGGGAGGATTATTTTAACATCATGGTTGCATTACCCTAAAGAAGTCTTTTAAAGAGCAGATAAATCTTTTAGCCTCCTCCGCAAATTAAATTATCTTTCCCCTGCGATGAGGATTTTCTTGACTTGTTGTATGTCTCAAACGTACGGTAATATAACCTCTGTTTACAACAGTTAAATAAACTAGTCCTGAAGATATTTACCAGATTCTCACTTAAAGAAAATCCCACATTTATTTATTCCACCTGGTGTTTCTCTAAAAGCAGCCGCGCCACAGGGAGGTGTCCGTTCCTGAGAGCGTCCATGAAAGGCGTGACTCCGCAGCTGTCTGTGCTGTTTGGGGTGTAGCTACACCTGGAAGAGTAGCAGTAGAGTTAGATCTCAGTCAGACCATTTTATGCCTCATGGCATAACTATTAACTAATAACATTACAGCTGATAGGTTATGAGGCCTAGTGTTGCAAAGTAATCACCTCTCCATAGGTTTTTCTCAACATTATAATCCCAAACTTAAGTGATTTATCATGCTTTCACTCAGATCTGCATAACTTTAGAGTTATGGGATGTGCCTCCATCACAAAGTTTTCCAGTGGGACTGAAGCATTCAGGGTAATCTACAGTGTTATTTTTCTACTAATGAGGGTGGATGCAGGTCAAACGGTTTCATGTTTGTCTCATATAACCAGAGAATAAAACTCCACCTGATTACATAGTCCCCCTATATGGATTGTGCTATGAATAGCCCATTTGATAAAGCTTCAGTAGCTAGCTCAATAGTTATGCCAATATGGGCTTAGGCTACTGGATGACATAGGGACCGCTTTTCTTCATTATGCATCGTTCTATCTCTTGTTTTTTTAGTCTGCAGTATTTTTTATTTCAACCACTCACTTTATGTTCTTTCAGTTTAATAGTAGCTTAGTAGCTTCATCTACCCTGGTTCTGTTTAGCTGTGACACCATCTTGGAGGGTGGTATCAACTGGATCACTGCCATTATGAATGATAGAGATGGGCCTCTTTTTCAGGGCTTATTCTTGTTTCTCTCCTAGATATAGCTATGCGGTGAGCTTTAACTGTGACTAACTGTATGTTCTCACTTTCATTCCTCTTTCAAACTGGCTCAGAGCTCATTTGCTTAAGCGTTTCTTTCCTGGACAGAGAAACCTATGGAACTACTTTACTGTTACCTTTTCTAACATAAGTGCTTCTATATTCCTTTTCTGTGTCTGCTTCTGTCTCCTTGAACCCTCAGCCTCCGCAGATGGCGGTTCACACTGAGCCTGGTTCTGCTGGAGGTGTCTTCCTGTTAAAAGGAAGTTTTGCCACTCTGTCGCTGCAAGCAGGCCCAGTGTGAGGGATTGCTGTTGAGTCAACCACAAAATGTGACAGTAGGTCTGTTTTTACTAAATGCTTCTCCAAGAGGAGAACATCCAGCAAGCAGCAGGGGTTCTTTAGATAGGAAACTTCTAACAATTCTGTCTAGATGATTCGATTGAATTGTCTTTGGGACAATAAGTGTTGTATATTGGGGCTTTGTAAACAAACAAAATTCAACTGAAGTTATTTATAGGAGTTCAAGCTTTTTTGCAGTTCCACTGACAGAAACTTCCTATCTAATGCTCCACATGATTTTAATTGCAATATTTAACCCTTACCTCTCCAGCAGGATGCTAACGACCTCCACACAGCCGTGCAAAGCTGCAGTAAGGACAAAAATGATGATAATCTGGTAGATCGTGATGATGCCGTGTTAAGTCATCAAATCATTTGTACACAAGATTAATTTACAGATGTGAAGATGCATTACCTGCAGTGTGCAGCGGTGTTCTGCCAGTCTTGCTTTCAGTCCTCCAAATGTCTGGCAAAGCATGCAGCAGGCATTCCACGACCAGAGGCTCGCCCTCCCTGCAGGCGACGTGGAATGAGTTCCATCCATCCTTGTTTTGCAACCTGGGGTCTGCACTGTAGGACAGCAGCTTCTGAATCACATCAAGGTTCCTTCGAGTGCATGCCATCATAAGGGGAGTCCTGTGAATAAAACCCAAACTTGTTCTTAAAGGTGCAGTAGCAGATACTGGACGGTTCCAGCAAGCTATATTTTTGAAGATACACAACCATGCGTCTCTCTTTGAAACCCTTGAAGCCACGCCTTCAAAACTCATGAATGCATGCTGTCTGCAGCCGCGGCAAACCACGAGGAGATCTTAAAGCCACATGATAGAAAATGCGTCAGATAATATCTCCTACTGCACTTCTAATAAACCAAAGTACTGTAGCTGCTTTAAAAGCTGGAAGACAAACTAGTCAACTATGTTGATTGAAAGGATTTCAGGCCTTCAAATATTTCAGATATAATGTATATATATATAATGTATATATATATATATATATATATATATATATATATATATATATATATA